CCCTAGTAGACGCGTTATAAAAGCCTTGAGCGGAAGCCCAAAATAAAAATATAAGCTTTCTTCAGAGGCCATTCTCCCTTAATGGTTGGTTCAACCAAGGATCGGTGGTGTTTTTATAAGAATGTAAGTAGAATAAAGATGAACTTCTTCTGGACATGGGTTCAAGGGTAAATTTAAATTTCACAGATCAAATGTGGTTAAAGCTATAAGGTAAAATATAGTTTTAGTCCATAATTGCCTCAAGTAAATAAATCGAAGGAACAAGGATAAAAACTGTTAAAAAAACTTACTAGGATCGATCGTCGTAAGTGTAGCAGTACCGTCAAAGTCGCACGTACCACCACCAGCATGCATCTTTTGGTAGTAATCATTATACGCATAAGAAGCATGATCAGTAATGTTATTAGGGAGAAAGCATGGCCTGCCTTGCTGAATGGCAGCACAGTTTGCCCCTCCTTGTCCACAAGCCCAATTCAGGCCGTCCTGCAACTTATCTTCATCAGCTCCATGTTTAGCCACACAATAAACCGTAGAAGAATTCGCTGTTGCACGGCCAGAAGCCAAATCCAAAGGATAAACAGTAGAGCCATTGGAGAAAAGTATACCCCAGTTTTTCTCCGAGACCGAGCCAGGCCGCTTGTCTTCATTAAACAACTCGTAAATGTACGTGTTGATAGGTATGGTTGGCTGACTTGGAGGACCAGAATCATTAGAAACTCTCCTGATAAGATTGTTAACGTAGGTGCCAGCATTTTGAATTGTAGCATCAGGTTCATTTGCTCCACCAGACCATGGCCAGCCAGTCTCGGTAACCACGACGGGAATCCCAGAAAAATTGAAAGCATCGATCGAGTAGTAAGTTGCATCAACCATAGCATCAAACATACTATTATAGTGGAAAAGAGTGTTCGGGTCAACAATCTGCTTAATTGCAGGAAGCGATCGAAAAAGTGCATAATCGAGCGGAAAAATTCCATTCCCACTAGTGTATCCCAAATAAGGATAGGCATTCAACATGTAGTAGGACTTCGTGTTCTTTAAGAACTGGAGAAGCTGATACATAGTAGAGTTCCATGAAGCGTTAAAGGTGGCGGTGGACGGGGGGAAAGGTCGGGGTATCATGTCCATTGATTGGGGAGTGGAAACCTTGACCAGATAGTTTAGATTGGCAGCAACCAAGGCCTTATGTAGGGAATACAAGGCTGGAACTAAGACTGGACCAACTTGAGGAATTGTAGAAAGGACCTCACTGCCAACAGCAATGGCCGTAATATTTGTTCCTGGCAAGTAAGCTGCAACGTTTTTATTAACCCAGGCTGCAGCGGCTGCTGGTGATTCACCGATCCTGAGAACTTCCTCGTTCGTGACACCAACAATTACCTCGATGCTACTGTTTGCTAAGGCCTTTAGCAGCTGAGCATCAGCATTATAAAGGCGAAGATGAGTAATTTGATGGGATTTAAGAATTGCAACTATATCTGAAGCTGATGGAAGATTGGAGACGTCGGTCCCGAGGTTGACCCCCACAAACGCACCTATTAACGTCAATAACACAGCTAAGTAACAAATAGATAATTGGCTATAAAACCAAACATTCTAGGTTTTTGTTAGGAAAAAGATCGATAGTAACTAATGACGTTCGTTTGAGGCCGTGTGATCAACCTTTATTATGAAGATCACAGAAATAAAGTTTGTAGACATTTTCAAAATATTCGAACCAGACCGGATTCAGAACACGAAGTATGAAGGGCGCGAAAGTACTCAAAGTTAGATAAATAAGATACCTAATGAATTGACACACATGCCAAATAGAAGCAAGATCACAATTCCATGACACCCTTCACGCATTTTCGATTCGAATCAACCGAAACTTTAACTTTTCAGCTAGGTAGGATTATAGCTTCCCACTAGGTCTCGAAAATCGAACTCCCAAAACTCAAACAAGCTAGCACATACAATCTGCAATCAAGTCATATGAAAAGAAAAACATAAATAGAAACAAATAAGAACAACAATTCAAGAGGAACGTGTAAAAGTAATTGAATGCATGAAGAAAAAACTGCAATGGCAGGAGAGTAATAGAAAACATAATTCAATTTAAAGACAGAAAACAAAGGATCCCACGTCGGTTGGGGAGGAGAACAAAGTATTCTTTATAAGGGTGTGGAGACCTCTCTCACTCTAAAAACCTAAAAACCTTGAGGGGAAGCCCAGAAGGAAAAACCCAAAGAGAACAATATCTATTAGTGGTGGACTTGAGCCGTTACAAATGTTATCAGAATCAGGCACCAGGCAGCGTGTCAACGAAGACGCTAGGCCTCAGAGGGAGGTGGATTATGAGATCCCACCTCGATTGGGAAGGAGAACGAAGCACCCTTTATAATAGCGTGGAAACCTCTCCCTAGACGTGCTTTAAAAACCTTGAGGGGAAGCCCGAAAGTAAAAGCTCAAAGAGGACAATATCTTCTAGCGGTGGGCTTAGGCCGTTACAAAGGTATCATACCAAGACGACAAATAGCTTCCGACTCCCCTCACTTCCAACTTTTAATCAGTAAACATCTCGTCCATTCTTGTTTCAAACGTTCAGAAGAACTTTAAAACTTCAAAGGAAGGAAATCAAAATGGAAATGCACCCACAAGTCTACTTTTGAAAGGTTAAGAATTAGGGGAAAACAAGCTCCAAACAAGCTCTTTCAGCAGATCCACAACAGGAAACAAATGCAATAAAGCCATAAATATTCAGACAAAGCATTAACAAACAAAATGTAGCTTAGTTTACAAATGAAACTCTTAGCTTAGCTTAGCTTACACATATCATCAAAAAGATAAACCCCTGTTTCTCATTCTATTCTGTAGACTATGAACTACTGGAAAATCAACTTGAGAAAGCTTGAGCACCAAAAACAAGCCACAAAACACGAAATAGCGAGGAACCCATCTGGGAAATCTAAAAACAAGAAGTGGGTAAGTACCCGATCTGGATAATGTATCAGTCTTTAACTCAGCTTCAGAACAGAATCAAAACCCTAAAGAGAGAGCAGAGCAAACACTTATGAACACAGATTAATGGAAGAAGGACAAAATAGAGAAGTGTAGAAGAGAGATTCTAAGCAGCCAAGAACACTAAAAGGCGTTCGAAACGAGAGTAAAAGACAGGAGCAAAAAACCAAACTCCCCACCAAGCAATAGTTAGAAGTAAAAAAAAAAAAAATCCCAAAACAAAACACACCCACGAGAAGAATCATACCCCACCATTTCCCAACGTATATATTTCGTACAAAACAGGACTAAGCTAAGCTTGTGAGATGTCCATCGAAAAGAACATGAACTAGAGGTGTAAAAACTGACAGGCAATGCATATAAAAACTTTTATTGCTTGCCTTTTTATTCTCTCTTTCCAGGCATGAAAGGGGGCTTGGATTCTCGTGCTGAAAGGGTTGTGATCATCGCCGTTCATCTTGGTTTGATGGGGTTTGGAATTTGAACCGAAAAAGACAATGAATTTGGGAGAATGAGCGACCGAGTGCGGAAGGGAGTGGGCTGTGTTGTTCTTTAATTTTAACCCAAAAGTCATGGGCTCGCAGTGCCGTAAAGGAGAAACGCTATTAAATTGAAGCTGATTGTTGAGTGGAGCAGCAAAGCCATCAATGTGCGGAAAGAAACAACTTTTTCTTTTCTTCTGGAGTAATGATATTGGGATTTGCACGGAAATTTCCAATATCTTTGTCTAACCCCATGAATTTCTAAAGGATCGAAGATAGCTCAGCTCTTAGATGAAGAATCTTTGTCGTATGAACACAACTTAAGGTGAAAATCTGTGTCAATACACTCCTAGTTCTTTTAGCTAGTTACGTTAGCAAATTTCGAGCCTCTCAATTGAGGATATAATTTCTATGCATACAATAATAATAATATTTTATTAATAATTTATATTTTTTAAAAAGGAATATTCAAAATTATAAGGGGATAAAGATCAAAAAATAGAAATTAAAAAAAAATGTAATTTAAGGAAATTAATATGGAATATAAATTTAAAAGAATTGGTCGTTTGATTTTGTAAACAATTAATTATTGGAAGAAAATCTTAATTAAGTATGGAAGGAGTAGGGCCCACAAATAGAATCCAATAAATATTCGTAAGATGGACCCCACCTTCACACATGGGAAAAAGTTGCACGTGGGTCCACTTGCTTAGTTGTAGGCAATTGTTTTTTTACTTTTATTTTATTTTATAAACCAATTTACAACGCATTTATTTAATGTTTGTATATGTTTAATTAAAAATTTAAAATAACATACAAATTTGAAACATTATATAATACAATTATTGATTAAAAAAAGGCCCAACATTTTAACGTTTGTCCATATATGGATATAGTAAAAAAGAATAAAAAAGATATAGATTATATATTTGAGTGTTCAAGTTAAAAGTGCACTAAATCTCTTATTATCCGAAAAGTTATATGTTATTTAGGTTTCGAAAATCTCTCTACTCCGTTTTTTAGAATTTTTCTTCTCTCTATTCAGAAAGTCATATGCTATTTAAGTCGTGTTACTTTTTTATTGTAGTTATATAACGTTGCTTTCAAATCTCTTTCTTTCTCACTTACAATTCCGTTTTCAAAAATCTCTTTACCCCATTTTTTAAAACCTTTTTCTCACACTCTCTACTCCAAAAGGAAAAAGTTATTCGTTATGATATTACTTTTTGCTAGTCATTATATCTTTCAAATCTTCTTTCATTCTTACTGTTTCAAATTGGCCTTAATCGGCCTCATTTTTTAAAATCTTCTTACTCTCAAATAAACTTGAGCATGCACAACCATAGGCAACCCAAATCTCAATTGGTTTTCCTCACTTAGTGAGGGGAGTGAATGCTACACCTGGGAGTAAATGCTACACAATGGCAAAGTCCGCTACCAAGAAGTACTATTCTCTCAAAACAATAAATTCTACTCCTTACTCCTTAGTTTGGGACGTTACAATATGCCCAATGGAAGTACTTTGTAAAGCATCATCACACCACGAAAGAAAGCAAAGTACGTACCAACAATCAATTTGATAACGCATAAATCCTAACAAGTAACAACAACAAAAAAAAAAAAAAAAAAAAAAAAAAAAAAAAAAAAAAAAAAAAAAAAAAAAAAAAAAAAAAAAAAA